CCCTGGTTGTTGCCGATGCTCAGGGTCAGGAAGGAGCACATCATGCCGCGGCCATCGATGATGTTGCGATCGAACAGCAGGTTGGGGTAAGCGATCTTCATTTCTTCGCTGTCAGGGTCGATGTAGTAAACCAAGGCATCCACAGACTTGGTGAAGTCATCCGTGGTGCACACGTTCACGTTCGTTCCGGTGGAGGACTCGGCAGCAAAGTGCGCAGCGGTGGCAAGGTAGTCGTAGCCTGCCTTGCCGGGACCACAACCAGCACGCAAACCGCTTCCTGGTCCTATCTCGCAGAATGGAAGCAGAGGAACGTGAAGGCCTAAACAAGGGTTAAGGTGGGCGGGAGAAGAAAATATTCAATTCGAAGCTTATACCAGAATGGCAACGGAATGCATAAAGTTCGAAGTGATCGATACATGTACATCCACGGAGGCGATCGGTGTTTGATGAAAACAGCGGGTTGTCCATTCGCGCACAATTGTGGTACACGACAACGACAGCTTTCACCGGTTATGCATAGGTCCCTGGTACGCGCTCCTTTTTCCAACTGTTTTCGCTTCGGCGGCGTGTTCTGCGATGTTGACTCCTTCGGAGTCTAATCGGGTTCATCGAATGTTTCGATCGCACTTCATACAGACATGGCCTCTCGATGTTAGGAGGGCCGAGCGTTTCCCATCGGTGGTGGTCGCGTCCTCCCATCGTAGGCGAACGTCACGAGACCATACCAACCTTTTTCTTGCAAGGTTCGATGTATCTTATCGATGCCCGGCACATCTGCAAAACCAGTAGTGGCTGCAAAATTATGTTACCTACAAACTTCGTAGCTCTACTCGTAATCTGTGATAAAGGTAATTCGATTTTCATCCACTGTCGAGCTTCCTCGATGTCCTCGAACTGCATCAGAGACATTGGCTTTGGTGGGTATTCGGTCTAGTCGGTGTGCTATTCCCCGGCGGTTGTGCCAGGTCCAATATGCCGCTACCAAGCAATTCAGCGGTTGGCGTTTGCCCACCGATCCAAGGAAACTGACGTACCAACACCGAGAGCAGTCGTCTTTGGAAATAGGCAGCTCGTCGCACATCACCGTGGAAGCAAACTGCTGCCCATCCGTTTTCGATATTACTGGTCTCGTTGGAGCGCCAACTAGGTAGCTCTTCGTCCCCTGGTCCCTGGGCAGGTACATCTGGTGCCCTAGTTTGAAGTATGTGTCGGTGTAGATGACGCTGCAGGTCACGGTTATTGGTTTCTGGGTCTCGTCATCGGTCTACAATGTTGAATGATGTTTCGCAATGCAAATAGAGGTGATCGAGTTGGTTTGTCGATGCTGTGTGTGTGCGTGTTGGAGTTGGCTCTTGCACAGAGAGCTTCAAAGGAGCGCGGCCCACTTTGCCTAACAGCCTGCCCGTCAGGAAGTTGCACTTGCCGGCCTCTTTCTCGCCTCAGCCGGCGACGTGTCGTTGGTGACAACGACCTGTTGGCACACCATCTTCACCTGTTGTGGACAGGGGGTGAGGATCAAATTGTCGGAGTCAGAAGAGATGAGCACTCCTTGCAGGTGTTGTTGCGTCTCGGGAAGCTGTCGTTTCATGGAGATCTCGAGCCATCCGCTGTAATCTTCGAACGCCTTGAAGCTGCCATCGGCTGAGCATTGATCCTCCACACTCATAATCATCGGCGTGGTGCAGGGCAAGGGACAGGACGACGGTCTGCCTGCATGCCACTAGCACATCGCCGAACCTGTTGTAAAACCAGACACTCGCGGCTGAACCGAACAAGAGGACGTTGTGGCTCCACAATGTGGGTCCTTCCGGCGTAAGGAGAAGGACGCACGCCTGTCGTGGGTCGTGTAGAGGTATAGTTGTCGGTAAAGCTCCATCGTGGTCAGTTCCTCACACCTACAATGGTACGTCTGCGTCACGTTCGAAGAGCCAATCCAAGGGAGACAAAGTGGTCCGAAGTGTGGTGGAACGGTTGGTCGTGCATGCTGCACGTCGCATTGTGGCAGCTGCGTTGCAATCCTCACCTCGGCGAATCTTCGTTTTGCCATCGCTGTCGGTTTGCTCGACGCTAAAGTTGCCGCTAAAGGCCTTCGCAATGAAAGGGTCGTGGTGTGGCAGAAATAAGACATTCATTCTTTTGCTCACCAATACTCTGTGCTACTGACTGTCGTGGCCACCAGTCGGGTGCTGCGAAGGGTCCATTCATGCGCCTCATTTTGACTTCGCAGATCATCTCAGCCAGCATGAATTCCCACCGATCATCGGCTCTGTTTTTTTTCGAGTTTATCGAGGATGTAAGCTCGGTTCTTCGTCTGGAACTCCTGGATGGGTGTTGGTTGAAGGTATTTGTGGTCTTGTCAAACACGTCAATTGGCTCCAGTCGTCAATAGCCCCATGAGGAGGAATCCCTCGGAGAGTTCGCGGTACAGGACGTCAACGAATTTCTGCGCCGATAAGATCCCCTCAGGTTGTTAAGGGGGGGGTTAGGGCGCCCAGTATAGACCCCCAACTGTGCTATTTCCTAGGAACTGGGCATAATCCGGGCAACCCATTTTAGACCTTTGGTTGGCTATGGATTTGTGCTGCGTTGGCTATGGATCTGCCCCCAACTCAACCATCCCCCCAAGTGCGGGGGGGTCTGCCTCAGCCACGTTCAGTTCAGACCTTCTCTGGGTGGGTCTGGACAGCTTGTGGCTGAGTCTCTCGGTTCAAACACATTGATTGCCCCTCCCCGCTAAACGACGAGTGCAGCCTCCAACACCGACATCCAAGGCTCATCAGGGCTCTAGGTTAAGGGGGTCTGAGATGGTAAGCCGGCGAAGGGTCTAAAATGCCTTTAGACCCATTTCAGACCCCTGATTCCCTGACCCTTAAGGGTCACCATTCCAGACCCCGGGCAAACTGAGGGGATCCGATAAGCTTGTTGTACATGCGGTGGCAGAGTTTGGAACCATTATCCAGTGACTATGTCGTCCGACTCTATCGTTGGGCCAGAGAATGGTCTAGTGCCCATAGGTTTGTCCACCGTGGGTGTCGGCTTACGACGGGACAGGAACTCCGTCGAGGAGTGACGGATCTGCGGGAATCTGACCAAGACGCTGCCGTGGTCTTGATACAGAACGGCGAGGAGACTATCCTCTCGGAGACCGTCCTCGTGCCGGTCCTTCAGCGTTATGTCGTCGTTCTTCTTCTTCTGCTCGAACTCGGACAGCATTTTCGGAGACATCCAGGACGTATAATCGTAGCACATAATCGCGATTTGCGAATTTCTCGGCCGACGAATTTCGGCCATGGTTGATCCCAGCAACTTCGGGGATGATGGCAAATGCCTTGGAACCACTTGCGGCAATCAAATCCGGAACAATCCGCTTGCCGTTCATGAATCGGGGTGCATCGTTGCAGTTCTTACCCTCGAATTATCGGGGACACACCCGAGATCGAGTCTCACTCGCGGAGAACGTCGGTAGAACTCACGTCCTCGGGAAAAGTTCGAAGCATACTCGGCGGCACATCGGCTCCGAAGGCTTCAACAATGCCTTCGCAAAAGAAATCGAGCCAGGAGTTGCTTCACCGTTCAGCCATAGCTTCGGAGTTAAATTCGAGAAGAGAGAGAAAACTGAAGAAAAATTAAATTCGACGCTTGAGCCAAAATGGCTTCGGAATGTAAAGTTCGAAGTGATCGATTCATGTATGTTCACGGAGTCGACCGGTGATTGATGAAAGCAGTGAGTTATCCTTTCGCACACACGTGTGCTACACAACGTAAGTCATAAGGTTGGGATATCCCCTAACCGGCCCTAACTCTCTTAGAGTAAGCCGGCAGATTCGGGACTTACAGGGTCATCCTGCCCAAAAGCTTTGGTTCCCCACCTTCGGCTTCATGATGTACGCCACCAGCACGTGCTTGCCGTTCTTGATGAGCGTCGCCTCATCCAGGGAGAGGTCCGCATAGCGGCTGGACTGGTCCAGGGCCTTGCGAGCTGTGACCGACTTCCTCACTGGCATCACGCTGGTGGGGAGGGGCGCGCTGCC